GGGTCACAGGTCGACGCGGCCGTGGCAGCGGCGACAGGGCGCGGGCGCGGGCGCGGCGGAGGCTGGCCGGAGCCGCCAGTTTACCGCAGCCAGCTGGCGGGCGCCTGCAACACGCAGCGGAAGGAAATCAGCAGGCGCTTACCAACGCCATTCCAGTGCCAGGGAACCTCTGAGAAGAGGATTAGTTACGAACAAATTTTAAGGTTTTAGGTGCCACCGGAGAAGAGGAGTCAGTAATCGTATGTTACTCGTACTGAGAAAATAATTTTGAGTTATTAAAATAAAGATATTAAAAATGTTCCTGAAGAACCAGAGTAATTAATTTACCTACAAGACAGGAAGATACATCTTCCTCGTCACTCAAGAAGAAATGGATATAAGTTACAATCAACTTTTGTAAATATTTTGGACATTTTGGTACTTGTGGGGACACAATGATCACGTCGTTTTTTCAAGAATTGGTTCAACATTTACTGTTTTTTCCGAATTCATAACTGGTTTCTAAAATGACAGATACTAAAATAAGATTACAATATGATTAAGGGGCCGCTCTAGCCATAAGAGAACGGCGGAATCCACAAAGCTATTACGCATGTCAACGGTTTGGAATTGTTTTGCAAACAATTGATAAGTATTGAAGTACTAAACTACGGCTTACGTTTAGGAAAGGTTTCAATAATACAAGTCTTAAGCAATAAAACAATAACTCTCCCTCACAAAAGGGTGGTATGCAACTGTTAAGGGAACTGTTGGTCGAATAGAGCGAAGACTGCAAACCTTTGCCCTCCAGAAACTGGGCGAACGATAAAAAAATGCTAAAAGCAATGAAATACTACCATAAAAATATTGGTCATTAAAATAGAGAAACAATGATTGTTAACAAATTTTAGATATTAAGAGACAACTAATGTAGTTGATGATTGGATGTTAGGCAATCCCCCACCCTTATTACAGTTTTGAAGCCGCTTTTTCTCGCCTGGAAGATTTTTTGTAGCTGACGCGCGATGACAAGAAACATTTTAGAAATACTCGTACTAACTAAAACAAATGCACCTAGACGAAGATAACTTATTGGAGGCGTGCGTGAAGAACTTGCTTCGCAATCATGAATGCGTCTCTTTTGCGTGTTTCGTACGTAACTCAGCTTTGCTTGGCGGGTTGCATAGTCGCCTGCGGTCGCCGCTTCAACTGGTCGAGCCTGTCAGCGCTCGGCGTCCGTCATTGGTCAACCAAAGGCTCTTGGATCCCAGGATTCGACTTTTACTTACTCTTGCCAGTTTATGCCACTATTGTTTGGTTTATTGTCAATATATTGGTATTTTATGTGGTTTTAAAAGAATCTTCGCTTCGAAGATTGGTATAAAAACAAATATTTTACGTTGAGAGTATATTTATAAGCTATTTTATAAAGCGCCAAAATACAAATAATAAGGTACTTTGTTATGTCAAAAAATGTCATGATTGTGAACGAAAGCTGCTGCTACAAGAATTTAAGAGGCTGTTATTACTCGCTCAACTTTTATTGGACAATGGTTTGAAAACAATGCGGGTAGAGTGGGGGTATTAGTTACGAAATGAGCTACCAGATTTTATGAAGCTACGCAATGGAGAATCAGTCATGCCTTCCCAACTTTCTCAGGAATTCGCGGTATCTCCTGTAATGGATCTTCACCTGCTTCGATCATTTCTTACGAATACGTTTCTTTCGAATAAAAGATAAAAATGGTAAAAATACTACCTTAATTAAATGATCAAGCTACATAAATAGAATGATAAAAGAAATTCGTTTTTATTGTAAGCCTTAAAACAATCTGACATCCTAATTATTTCATGTAGTAAAATAGATTTGAAATAAGTTTTATAATATATTTTTGAAAATTGATCAGTTATGAAGCCATGGTTTACAAAGCACTATTTTAATTTTTCAGATATGAATCTGTGCCTTTTCTCTCTAAACATTGCTTTGTACTACCTAAAAGTTTACTCAACAACAGAAGGAATGAGGAACATCTTGAGCTTCGAAATATTTCGGAGTTATTTAGTTTTATAAATGTAGATCTAACTTCTTAAAAATTGCATTAGAATTAAAATAATCTTCCAAGAAGAATTTAAATATCTGAGGCGTCTGAGCATACAATTTATAAAATTTGTAACACATTAAAACTAATAGTTTAAAACATACAATTATGTGTGTTTTTCTAAAATGTGTGAATATACGAGTAAAAATGGACCATTATGGATAGACAAATTTGTTTAAAATTATTTCATAAGCGTAATTAGTAAACATTTGACAGTTGATTGATTGAAACTAACATGACAAAAGTGTAAACAAAAATATAATTAAGATTTATTATCTTCGACGGTTTCAATTATTTGAGAAAAGCAAAGAGAAGAGTTAATTTCTTGTTAATATTGTTTATTCATTTTCTTTTTCACACAGGCAGTATTTTGAGGCACATAATTTAACCTCATACATTCCAAATTGCTTAACAATTAATTTCTTTAGATCTCAAGACACAGAATAATATAAAACATAAAGATAGAATATAAAAAAAGATTTTAATGCTATTTCAAATGACTGCAGAATCATGTTCCTCGAAACTTCGTCTACATGAAACAAAAAGAATATTGTGTTGGCAATTGATGATATTGAACTGTCAAGATGTAAACTGTTCTCTTTGTTTCAAGTATGTGGAACCGTTGAATTTCACAATACGTCAATAAAATACGACAATCACTCTCATCTCATTTTACAAACGTGTATCTCCAGAGAAATCGTAGTGCATGTTTGGCGAGTGATGGGGAGATGGAGCGGGGCGGGGTGGGGTGTGCTCACCGACCTGCGGGGCGGGCGCGGCGTCGGCGGCGGGGGCGGCCTCGGGGGCGGCGAGGGCGGCGCGCCGCTTGCGGAAGCTGGTGAGCGGCAGCGGCAGCGGGCCGTCGGCCGCGATGCGGTTCGTCTGCAGCTGCAACATGGCGCGCTGCGCTCGCCTTAACGTGCTGCCACCCACGCGCCACCACGCGCCAAAGCCAGTCGAATGCATCTCGACGGCCGTGTCAATTGGTAGGCTCATTACTGCTGTAAGTGTAGTGCCAAGTGTAGTTCTAAGTGTAGCTCAGTAGTTCTGTAAGTGTAATGTTATATCCCAGAAGTTGCGGTGCTCCTCCCTCGCTGCCTGGTGGGTTTCCGCGCCGACCTACACGTAGGCGTTTGGGGGTCCCCTCCTCCAGACACCTCCCCAGCGCGGAACTGCCCCAGCCGGGACAAGCCCTAATAACCCGTCTGGTCTCCTGTAATGTGTGTTACTGAAGTTCATGTATGTGCTTGAGCGTAACATTTGGAGATAGGGTAAGTTTGATATGGAAAGATGCCTGATTGTCAGAGTACGGCTCCCTCTACCGGTATTTGTCGGATATTGATCGGAAAAACAACTGAAAACTACCGATCACTGTAGACGGCCGTTACAATTCTCCTCCATTCAGTGACCGCATTCGAACTGTATGCAGTTTGTGCCGTCACTACTAGAACCGTTGAACCCCAAGTCAGAGGCGGCAAAGGCTTTTGCTCTGAGTCATATCCCACGAGTCACACATATGCAGGCTGACACAATAATTAAATAGCGGCTTAATACGAACGCAACGTTCTTGGCAAGCAAGAATTCGATAAATTATACACTTTACTGTTTTGGACGTAAATAAATAAAATAAATAAATAAAAATAAATAAAGAGTAAATTGTAAGGGACACTGGCAAAAAATACACATAGAAATTCCTGAAACCACACGGGGCTGCATTAGGTTTGACACCGGGATCTTATTTGTTTCTTAAATTATTAGTCAAAATGAAGTCTGATTTTTTGTGGAGTTCTTATCTTCGTCACGTTCGTTTTTATGTTCGTAGGACTTGACATAAAAACCAAACATTATATTACGTCCTTATTTAGTATACATTAAATTATATAAAATTTACATTTAAATGACAATATTGATCAACTGTTATAATCAAAACAACGTGTTAGAGTCCCCCTTCTTAACATGTAATATAAGAGCGAGGCCTAGAAGTTGTAACTATTAAAAAATATTTTTAATCGAACGAAATCTCCTCTCGCTGTTTCTGTTGCCCTGTGCTCTGCATTGTGGCCCCCTCTCGCTGCCTCACGACGCATCACGTGACCGAGAGCGCTCATTGGATGGAGCGGAGCACCGACGCCTCTCCCTTCTCTCGCTCCGCGCCTTTGTCTTGGTTTTGTGGCTTTGTGGGATTTAATGAGTGGCCGAGCCTCTGGTCGTAAGATTTTCAGCATAGACTTTTAGTAAGAATTGCTCCCCTCTGGAAGAATGACTTCCGAAAAAAAGTATGTTTAATGCGAACCCGAAATAAATAAAGAGAATAAAGAAAACTGGATGCATGAGAAAATAGCACATTGTAAATAGCTGTACCTTTATTGTAATCAGCTTTTGGACCAATGACCCCATCTCGATCAGATCTTATCAGTTCTCTTTGGCCTATTGACATAGCCCTTGTTTTTCTTTACAATCCTGGTGCATTTCTCCCTTCCCAATGCACATACTGATTGTTCGGTTTTTGGACGTTAAACAAAGAGAATAATAAATAAATAAGCCCGATCGTGTGCATGGGTAAATATTCTAATATTGCTATTAATATTGTAATATGGCATTATTAATATTTATAATGTTCGTACTTACTACAAACAGAAAGCCCGTGTCATTAAATTGGCGAATATAAAATAGTCAGCTTATTTTTACTTAGGTTTCGTGATTCTCTACGTTTTCTCACTAGTGCAACGAAGCGGGTGTTTCTGAAGACCTGCACATCCAAAAACGTAATAAAGTATCCAAACAGTTTTCATTTTCTAGATTCTAAAATGAAACGGGAGTCTGAAGGAGTGCAAAAATAGTGTTTTATGGATGCACGTTTTGGAGATATTTAATATAATACCGTGGAGTGTATGGGCATCTAATGAAATCTGGGTAGCATTATCTACATTCCCTAAGCTCTAAGCATTATCTAAGATCTGAATGTTTGATTTAAACCAAGTTTTTTGGACCCTAGCGGTAATTCACAAACTATATAATAATATACGTATATTTGTACCCAATACTTAAATCTGGCCTTTTAAGTCAGAATTATTTTCCACTCGAAACTGAACTAAGTACAGCTACTTTTATTAAAAACTGTAAAAGAAATGTCGCTCAAAGTGAAAATTTTATGTGATATACGAATAGAGAATCTCATCTCTATATATAGTTCAGTAGCAATCATAACTATTGCTGTGGAGGCAAAACTCATATCTATTATCTTATTAATTTTTGATCAAGGAAAACATTTAATTAGTTGTTTGTAAAATGTGTGTTTGAATGAGTATTTATTGTGCTAAAAATTTAGCAGTTTTATATGTACACTGAATAGGCAGATGTGTCACTATAGGAAATTCAAACACGGATCAGTCATAAGTAAGCACCAAACATACAGGAATTTGCGACGTTGGTGACATCTGTTGGCATTTTCGCGAGATAGTAATTTCTTAGAAGCTTGTTTTAACACTATTGATAGAATGCGCTTGTATTGCGTTTATTTTGTTTCACATTACTCTGCAACTGTTATCTTTTAAAATTCAAGTTCAACAAAACAGGAATTATGTTCTTTCAAAAGACGTACTTCTTTACGATGTAAAGCTGAAAGTGCACAATTTTACTAAAGAAAGCCATAGATGAAAGTTATGATTTCTGGTAGACACTCATAGATATCGTTCATGATCTGCATCGCAGACACAACTCCAATAAAACGATGTTTGAGTTATAACCGTTGTTTTATAAAATTATATAATGGTTATGATTAACAAATCTAATAAGCATTTAAGTAATTCGTACTCCTTATATTCTCTTAATTGTAAAGTATGTGATTTCTTCATTTCCTTTGCCAGACAAAACATTAAACTTATTTATCTCGTATCTTCAGTTTCATGTTGTGCCAGTATTGTATGTCCATAAATAATATTCTGAGGGGAATCGGATTTCTAGCAGTGAGGACAATAGTTTCGTTCAACGCAACTAGAATGCGCTCGAATTCGTAGTAGTTCAAGTAATGACCAGATCACGTAGAAACCTTTAACACCCGATACAGAGTCTATTTCAATGTTTTCGAAGTCTGTGTACTGTCTGCATCTGAGATTAATGTTCCCCGTGAAAACGAGATGTTCTTACCGGGGATAATATAAAACTAAAGAAAATGATGGGCAGAGAACTGAATGATTTTAATTTTTTCAACAAATCATACTGTGAGTAATAAATCTGAGTAGTATTCATTGGGAAGATGCATGTCTCATGTGGTGAATAATGAAATTAGTAGATACTACACTGCCCCAAGAATGCATGCAGCTTGATTGAAAATAGATTAGCAAAAGGAAGATGTCTAGATAGATATTGAAAATTATACTACTGAATCCTTTGTTATATCCAAAAGAATTTACTTCCAGTAGTTACACTAGTAATGCAATCAATTGTAAAAATATTATATTTAAGAAAATAAATATTATTCATTTCCAATTATTATTGAATTTTACATGATCTACGGCAAGTATTTTAGTGACACTTGGGAGCGACAGGAGTGCATTCATATCAGGCTCTCTTACGATACGCGTTTTGTTTATGTTGTTCAGTGCATTCTTCCGTAAGTCCAAGATAAAAGTTCAATATTGTAAATTTAATATTCTGTCAAAGTCAAGCGAGAAAATTGAGAATGATGCTACGTAAATTATATTTCGCCAATCTTTCTTTCAAACATTTGGTTAAGAAGAAATGAAGTTATGATGTACGAGGATTACCCGAAAAACTTTTCAGGATATACACTTAAAAAATTCGTAACTGTCACAATTGAGTTACTCTGCGCTTCTTAAAAACTTTCTCCTAGTTTGATAAATTGTGGTTGGGGATAGAAAAATATTTTTTTATTAACAATCGAAGGAGAAAATCGCAATTGTAGAGTTTTTACGGTCAATACAGTTTTGACAACCTACGGCTACTTATTTATCCTCAATTAACATTGATTACCCACCCACACAAAAAAACAGTTCGTGTCTGGGAATCAGACCATTTTTCTATGTTTAGGTGGTCGTTAAATCCGAATCCAGTGTCCATTTTACCCCGTCACATCAGGTTTTGGACATAAATTAAAAAAATAAAACAAATGAATGATTTTTAACCGAAGGGGTCAGGCCATGTTTTTGGAGTCGCTGAAACCGAATCTTAAGTTCATTTAACATAATCACAAGATTTTTCACAAATGTGAGAAAACAATTGTTTCAAATAATTTCAAAATTGCCTATTTCATTCAAAATTACTCAAAGAGTATTCGTATTTTCGTAAAATTGAACATGACTATTTCAAGATGACAATTTCAATCTGTTTCTTATGGACATATTTCATTAGAAAAAATCTAAATGAAATCTTGTATTTGTAAGAAGACGCTGAAAAAATTAAACTTTTGCAATTTTGAAAAATGCGTACAGTTAAACTAAAATGCAACCAGCATCACTTTTTTGCCGTTCATTTCCACGTACGAGAAAAAATTAAATAAAGCTGTTGTGAAGGAAAATATAATTTAAAAATAAAAGAGCACTATTTTTACGCAAATTATGTTAAAACTACTCATATTAAAAAAATGGAACGTGAACTTATTTTAAGATGTGGTTTTGATGAACACATTTCATTAACAACATTTCTTTGATCAATATTGTAGTTATAGAAAGACGAAAAAATTTAAACTTTTAGAAAATGATTTTGAATAATTTTTCGAAACCTGTTTTTCAAGATAATTGTGTTGCAATACGTATTATTTTAGGTAACCGTTACCAAAAAGAGAAAGAAGTATATAATGTATCTGCATTAGGTAAGCGTTCTATTACATTTCTTACAGAAGGATTACTCCCCAGTCCTAAATCAAATACATTTAAGACGAGAAA